CCTTCGAATCTCTTCACCCAACACTTTTGCTCGAAATGGAAGTAAGTTCAACAATTATGAGACAAGAGATTCCTCGAAACCCAACTTTTCTTCACAAAATAACATTTTCTACGAGAATGCCAAGCTTTAGAGAATTTATATATCGGGCTGTTAAAAAGTTTGGATCGTAGTTATGAAGACCAATATGGTGTGGCCATCCGTTTGGTTGCAGTCTACTTTAGTTTTATGGTGTTGGTTTGTCCTCGTTTTTGCAACTTGGTAAGGAGTGTCCTCTGTCATAGTATTCGTGGTTTCCAGTATCAGACCACTAATTTGGCTCATTCCCAGACGTTTCATCATCATCGTAGTCGACATCGTCAATGAGAGGTTCCATCGTTAACACATATTTTCGACTTATCAAAGTGACATGTGGAGGCAATCCCCTTGATCAATTGACTTGTCACTTTGATAAGTTGTAACTACGTGTTAACGGTGGCGCTTCTGACGATGTCAGCTAAAAGTCTAGGAATGTGCCAGGTCAATGATTAGACACTGGAAATTACGAATACTATAGCAGAGGGCACAGTACCAGGTACCTTCCACAAGGTCTCACTGACGCTGTAAAAGCAAGGTCTAAACAAAACTAGAAAGCTTTGACTTAATGTAATAGCACATAAGTGGAGGATACCCTTGAACATTATATAAAAGACTATATGAACTTTAAAGATCCTGCAGAGGTTTGTGAATTCAGCAATCAAGACTAGCCCCTTCGGATAGCTTACATTGGAGACCAAAAAGAAGAGTCTCAAACTAAACATTTAGCAGAATATGAAGACTATATCGGTAAGCGCAAGATTAGGGCATTGATAGAAATCATCAAAACGACCAACACCCTGAAGAGAAGTAACGAATATAGAAAGTAAGTGGAAACTAATTGTGGTTATTGGTTAGAATTAAAGAGATAGCGTGAACAAGAAGTACCACCGAGAAAAATGAAAAGGCTTGATTATTCTCGAATCTGATTATCACTATCACAACTCAAACGACTAATGATCATTGTCTGTATAGAATAAACGTACAATGAAGGTACGTACAATGGCGATCACGTATCTCAACATTGCAGAATAACAAAGTTACTAATTGGAAGAAACAGCGGTTCTGTCCAAAATGCATGAATTTCAGGCGCCATCTTTAACCAAATTAATATGCCGTTCTCAAGCATTTAACTTTTCTGCGAGGATGTGGGGAAAGTATAGAATAGCCAACCAAATCATAAGGTGTCTAATTAAGCGGAAAGAATTAGGCAATAAGAAAGTATGTAAGTAGAGTTGTGAGACTACCGGTAAATCAGTTATGTGAGATGCATTCACTCTATTTCGTTTAAGTTGATGAAGAATTGGTAGTAGAATTTTCCCTCAATGATATGAATATAGCTGACGTTTCAATTGAATTGCACATAGCCTTGCTTTCCTAAAAGTTGTTCTCATCCAGGGTGGACTGCAGTTTCGACCTTGCATAGGCTATGTGAAATTCAATGTAAATGTCAGCTTTACTCATAACATTGTGGGAAAATTCTACTACCAGTTCTTCATTACCTTAAACGAAATAGGATGAATACATCTAATAAGAAAGTAGATAGGATGGCAGCCTATTACCTTCCTCGTCCTAGTGCTTCGTTAATTTTTGTTAAGTATGTTTCACTGCTCTGGCAATGCCTATACCATGAGAGATAAAAGCTCGGCACAGGTTCATCGGAATCGTGGAACGATGCACTAAAGAATAATTTGCACAAATCTATAGTAACAACTCCAAGATAATCCTCATTTGGCCTCCGATGAGGCCAATTTAAGAATTTTTTTTTATTCGCCTCTTCAAATGACGTAAAAGCTATGCCAACATAGGAAATTGCTGTTTATATGAATCATTTCTTTTTCTTTTTGCGACCCAGCTTATCTCAAGAATCTTTTTAGATATGAAATTCAGCTTCTTCTCTTAACTTAGAAAGCACCCATTAATCTGTCATCCAGGAATTTTTCTGCAATCCAACATGAGTCTGCTTGCTTTTTCATGTACATTTAATTTGATTTTGTCTAGAAAATTAGGATTTGCTCTCCTTTGGTGATGATTCTTCTCGTTCATTCATTTTAACTTGAGATGATAGATATTGAGACCAAAGGTCAGAGTCATATTTGTGAATACTTACCCTATGACCTATAGAAATGGAAAATCTACTAGTCAGTTCTATAACTAATAGGAACACTCGCTAATATTATAAATGTCAAAATAATAAATGAAAATAAACAATTTTGTGGCATTGAAACTGCCTCATCAAATTCTAATATGCAGAGTCAGATAAGTTATTGATGAAAAATTACAAATGCCCGAATCTATCCTGAGAAAGAAGCCAAAACATAATCCCTTTATTCGAATCCTTATAAAGTTATCGGAAAAATGTAGTTAGTTGAATGTTTACCTTCTCCATAGAATTTAAAGTAATAGTGACGATTATCATATATTCTACTAAGCATATTTATTAAATCCGAACAAAAAATATAAAATACAGATTATTATATTTTTTATGCCCATCTAAGAAATTTACATGTGAAGAGAAAAGTAAAATTTCCTTTTAATCCCTTACTTGTAAAAGTAAACTGCAGGGATATTCTAAGTGAAATGCGAAAATGTAATCAGATATACAGGATATCAAAAAAGATATCAGCGTGGTACTATGATGCAGGCAAATAGCTAGGGAAGCAACGTAAAATTATGTAAGTACTAAGAACAGGAAAGTAAAACATTTAAACATTAAGTATACATTGTTTGAATTGCTAGATAATAGTGATATAAAATAACAGACCTAAGAACAAGAACCCGGCAAAAGGCTCTGGCAATTAATGAGAAAATATTACATTATGCGCATGCTCTGCTATGTTATATTGAGTCCGACGATGAAACATGCGTTGGAAATAATTGATTCCCAATAAGCATATTTCAGCCGTAATTATCATCTAAAGTAAATTATCTTTATAAATAAAGGTATGAAGACCAAGATTTTTTGGCCTTTTGTTTGGTCGCGGTCTCATGTCGTTGCATAGAATCTATTAGACTTTGTTTTCGCAACTACGTCATATTTGCAGAAATACCTAGTGGAAGGAATCTTTTCTAGAGTCCATAGTATGCATTATAATTTCCAGAGTCGTACCATGGACTTGGTACATTCTCAGACATTTAGTAAGCATCGTCAGTGAGTCTTGACATTATTAGCACAACCCTACAACTCGTCAAAAGACAAGTGAAATCAATCTGTTGACGAGCTGTCTGCTAAGCAGTTGTAGTATTTCTTATTCTGTTCGAATGGGATGATATAGAATAAGTGAATACCCTAAGAGAGAAGTAGATATACCACAAATATTCGGAAGAGAATTGGTTAAAGGATGGGCTTCATTTGTCTCTTTTTACGAGTAGTACTGAGGATGGCAAGGCTGGCTAACGATGCCGACTACGATGCCGGTGATATTTCTGGGAATGCACTAGGTCCACGGTCCGACTCTGGAAATTATTATGTATACTATGGACTACGGACTAGGTGCATTCCTCTAGGTCTTAGTGCCGATATGGCTAAGTTGAGAAAATATGGTCAAACAATAACGATATTTATAAAGTTATAATAGTTTATAATTCCGCTATGTCTAATTTTAAAAAGGAAGAAATACGGAGTTGGATTTACAACGTTTACACAACCTATGGATGCTTAGAAAAATGTACCGAATATAAGATCGTATGTCATTTTTCTAACATTTTCTTTCAGTCAGAGTAGTGAAATACATGTGTAAATTAGTGAAATGTCAAAGAGTAAAATGGGCCATAATAACAATAATTTGTCACTTATAGTCTTAAATACTTGATATGTTGCATAATATTATATTTAAAAATATATTGTGCAGCAATTTTAACGAAAAAATATATATATATTAAATATAAGGGCAATAGAGATCATGACTTGCCTGAATAGGAGTAAGTACTTGAATGAATTGAACTTTTTGAACGTAAATCCTTTTCCAAGCACATATATCATAGGGATCAATGTGTATGTTAGGAATCCATCCTAACCTGAGACATTTCGGTCTCCATACATCATTTGATTCAGAAAGGTATTTCCAATACCAGCAAACCTAAATTAGTAATTAATAATTTTCATTAAAGTTAAATAATAAACTTAAAAAAAGTTGTATTACTTTATATAGATTTTTTTAGTAAACCAACCTGCGCTGTTCGACAGAGACTTCTGGGATCGAGCAATGAAAAAATATTAATACATATAAATTTAGGGAGAATTCGAGTGAAATCAATATGTTTTTCAGGAAGCTTTCTGTTAGTGCGCATTTTAATTCTTTCCAAGCTTTTTAAATTGCATACTTTGAGTATTTCTTCTATTGTTTCATCTTTCTGTTCAGTAGACCATTTTTTAAACTTTAACTTGATAAATATGTCAGTAAACATACCCATGCCAAAAAAAGTCCCTTTCGCGCTTCAAATAACTTATATATTAGACTAATTTGTTAATCTTACTTGAAAATTTAATTCTGGCTTATTTAGAGGTGTCCAGGTACTGTATACCACTTGGGCAGCCTCTTTCGACATCGCGCTGCTTATACTAGTTACTGAAAAACAGTAACAAACAAGTTTAAACAGATTACCTGCTTATAATATTTAAAAACATATAAGTTAATTAAGCTTTTAATAACAATTAATATTTAGTTTTATTTTGACGGCATAACTCTTAGTTCACCCCTGATTTGCAATACCCGCCCCATCCAAATTGCCTATGAATGGCGCTGAACGTTTTGTACCGCCGAGGGATATTTCAACTTTCACTCCCCACTTTTGTTAGGAATTCTAGGTACTGCTATTCCGCATGCCTTTTTTCAAACAAAAGCGTCTACAATTGGTAAAGTTATACACTTCTTGGTAACCTTTCAAAGTAATGGCCGTGAGATATGTCCTCAATTCTTTATGAATAAATGCATCCGGCTATATTCATGTATGTCGTTTCTTAGTTTAATTCTTCTTTGCAGCATTTCCACCACATAAACCTATAAAGCTGCCTAACCTGTCGCCTACAATGGAAACTGGCTCTATTGTTAGTTGGGCTAAGTCAGAAGGCGATCAGGTATGGAACATTTTTTTCATTGTGTCAGATAAGCGAGGGAGATCTGATGGCAGAGATAGAGACAGATAAAGCGACAATCGCCATGGATTCCCCAGAGGAGGGCTTTATTGCAAAAATTTTAGTGGCAGCGGGGACACGTGATATCCCCGTTGGCATGGTAAATGAGTTTTAACTTATTGTTGCTTCAGCCTTTGTGTATTGTCGTTGAAGATTCTAGCCTTATCGCTCAATTTGCAAATTATTCGGCTGCAGACGCTGGGGGTCCTATTCCGGCGAAGGTGAGATAATATGTTCGTAATTTAGCAAGTACGTACATACTTTCGTGGCTCACGCATAAACACTTCTTTCCCTACACTTATTTTTTTAAATATTATCTCACCTTACACTTCTATTTCTTCCAGGCTACGCCTCAAAAAGAACCTATTAGTCAACCGGCACCTCCGGTCATTCCTGCAGCCATCCCCGCTGCCAGCCCTACTGTTTCTTCTGCCCCTCCACCTCCTAGTGGAAAATTGTTTCCTTCCTCTCCATTAGTGAAACGACTCGCTGCAGAACGAGGAATAAATTTGAACATGTTATCCACTAAACTCCCTCAAGGTGGTTCGGGTATGGATGGGATGTATGTGTCATCTGACCTTGAATCATTGGCTGCTCAAGTTTCTGAAGGTGTAACTCCAACCACCTTCACAGCGCCCTCCGCCTCTTTCATTGATTTGCCACTGTCAGATATGCGATCAGTATGTTTTTATTTTACTTATGTGTTTTGTGTTGTGATATGTTCACTCTGAGATTTAAAGCCTTGATGTTTCATATTCATATTCGTTTTTACTTATTTTCTAGAGGAAAATTGCCCTGTCCTAACTGCACTGAGTGTGTCTACTATTAAGTTGGTATAACCTCATTTTAACAAGTGTTTCGGAGTTTCAAAGGCCTTTTGGATAATACCCACTCCTGTGTATTCTGCCATA